ATGGGTGTTTTACAATATTAAACAAAATAAATAGTTTGTTCCAAGTTTGCAAATTTAAAATTAATATTCTGTTTCCCGTCTGTCTTTGATCATCCTCTACTTATTGATCACTTGTTCATAATCTCCAATGTAATTATATATACGTACTTAGTATCCCTAGCCGGTATATAATGAAAATATATCAAGGATAAACTTTGGCTAGAGTGTTTTGTTTTTAAGGTTCTTCTTTTCACTGCAGGCATTCGATTAGTTTATTTGTTTTTGTTTATCATAGCGTTTTATAAAAGTTTAATTCACGTGCACACACACAAATAGATGGTAGGATTTCAACCATTTAGTCTATCAGCAGCTTTGCTGCATAAAGGCAACTTTCAGTAAAGCACTTTTTCCTTATTAATCGATCATTGTGCTTTAGTAGAGTTGAAGATAGTTAAGAATCTGCACCTTATTTTGATAGTAACTAACATTATTATTATTATTATTATTATTATTATTATTATTAATTATTATTATTATTATTAGTTTCCTACGACTTTATTCGTGTTATATTAGCAATATCGTCCGATACATCATCATAGTTTATTTTTATCTTGTTATACTTTTCCTCAATTCAGTTTTCAACCCCATACTTCTGATTTCTTTCTCTCCACTAGAATTTAGAAAGAAATAATGAATAGAGTAAAAAAGAACACACACATGAGATATGAATATTTTCAATGTAGGCGGTAGTCACAAACTGTATAATCTGTACGAAATCTGTGCATTAAATGTTTTCATTACATTTTGAATTTAATTAACAAGTGAATTAGAAAATTAAGTATAAATTATTATACAGAATTCCTCTTTATGTCAATATAAGGATTGGAATGATAATAATGGTTGATTGTTTTATTTATTTCTTGGAGAAAATACTGACTAAGCTTTGTCTAGATTGAATAGGGAGTTTAAAACCAAAAAAACTGGATTATACAGCGTATTAAAAATATCAAACTTAAACTCAAAAGAATAACAATATTAATCGCCAGTGGTATTATATCACCGAGTTACCCAATCTGAGAAAATTCGACCTATAGAAGATATCAACTCTTTTTGGATCGTTAGTAACATTCTTACTGATAGACTTAAGGTAGTATAAATCCCTTACATAGCGTAATTTCATTGAAATCTTCACATAATGTAGATATCTAATAAGTAGGAATTGATCTAATCTTCTAATTCATGGATATTCATTTCCAGTGTGTATAACAGGTATATCATTTATTTCATACACATAGTTCCCTTTATCATTTTGAAAAGAGCAAGAACAAAGATTCTAGCAGAATAGCATGAATTCATTTTATTTCGTAGGTTCTCGTCAGCTGCTTACAACCTGTGATATTTAAAAATCATAATGTAAGTAGAATTATCAATCATTTTCTTTTGTAGGAGTTCTCTAAGCATGCCTGTGATTCGTTTTTCTGTGATTTTTAAATGATTTTTAAATATCACAGGTTGTAAGCAGCTGACGAGAACCTACGAAATAAAATGAATTCATGCTATTCTGCTAGAATCTTTGTTCTTGCTCTTTTCAATATCATTTATTATTGATGTTATTGGATTGTGATTTTTTAATACATCCGATACTTAATGTTCATCTATTGAATGAATAAAGTGTATTATTTTTAATTATAAGTTAGCCGTCTTTTAGAAAAGAAATTTGAAAATTCAGAATAAACACAGTTATCTATGCACACCAACTATATGCCTCAAAATAACTAGCATAGTTGATAGAATAACACACTTCAGAATGAAAAACCTTGCACAAATAATACGATCATTGTTTATTAAAACACCATTACCTTCAGAAATATTGCAAATCAAGTAAACAAGTAACGTCGATCTGAACACATCATCATTTATAGTTTACAATGATGAAGAAAACCAGAAATCTCGTCATCAAAATGAGTTAAGCGAGGAATTCAAAATATAGAAGCGGGTAACTACAGCGCAGTTTACATTGGATAAAGCTTAAAAAAATAGTTAATTGATTAAATGGTTGGTTTTGTTTTTTCTCTCGATAATATCGACAGTTTGTTTAGATAATTTCAGGTCGTGTCAATTTTATACAAACTTGTGTGAAGGTCAATCCTAGGTTATGATTAAAAATGAAACTGTATGATTTTGTCGGTACTTGTGAGGTCAAAGCAAGAAACGAAAAACCCGTCAATTACCGTTTTTTTTCAAGCTGAGTATAGTTATGATTTTATCTAATTTTATGTAACAGCCAGATAGTGAAGTAATTGGTGTTCTAGTAAACACTAGAAACTGAAAACTACGAATTTTATCAAACTGTTTATTTGTATAGATGAAACACTGTTCTTGAAAATACAAGTTACTATTTCTAATCATGGTCAATATATATAATCCAAGTGTGTAAGCGCCATAACATATTCTCGTGTTTGGAACTTTTACACAAGAATTGGGCTACGATTAGTTAACTGATCTTTAACATTATATATCCATGATAACTCCTAAAATCGAATCCATGACCGACGTACTGATTAATAGCGGGAACAAATCATTTTAGACCTTTTTTTTCACTATCAAAAGGATAAACTATTGAGAAAAGGTCCAGTATCATTGTGTTCGCATTATGTACTATCAGTTGAATTCTATCAAAAAATATATTTACTAACTCTTGTAAAGGGAAATAATGAAGCATATTATCACGTCAAAATACTTCAGTTTTTACTATAAGTTCGATCTGTACAGTTGCTGTTTGCAATTCATCAGTATCGGTTTTATTTAACTTATGTTTTATTGGTACCCATATTTCGGAAACCTTATGACAGTTTTTATAGAAGAGGCGGATTTTTGACCATCAAAACCATCCAGATTACGTGCTTATGGCTATTTTAAGATTATTCAGCTGCATTTATCTCCATCCCGATGTCCATGTTGATAGTTGAACCGAAAACCAGTAATATTCAATCCAAACGCTCAATGCGTTATCATTTGAGCTACTGAATTCAGATACTGAATCATTTGTGCAATGTATTTGATTTCATTATCATTTTTAAAAAGAAATTAAGCTATCCTGTTGTTGATAATCTTGACTGAATTCTGATTAGTTTATAAGTCCCAAAATAGGATTTGAAGTTGCCAACTTGAAACATTGACGATTTTTTTAGCTATTCACAAGTTATAAGTTTAGGCTGTTTATGTTCTCAGTTTTAAAATCCTTGATTCATATTGGAAATTTTCAAATATAACCAGTTAATGAGAAAAATAATCTAACTTGAATGATATGTCACTCTTTTCAAACAAAAATAATTCACTGATAATTCTAGGTAATGACAAGTACCGATTTTCGCTAACTCTGGAAATGCAGGTAATGTACAATCAATTAGCTCTCGTATAGTATTCTAACTAATTAATCAATATCATTGTGTGCATATGTGCCTGGAATAGGTTTATCCCAATAAAGTTGTATCGATATTGAACAGTAAATATTGCTGACAAGTTTGCAGAAACATAATTACCTAGTCACTGTAATCAATATTGTCACTAAATGGATTTATACAATTCTTTAAGTTTTAGTTATTACCCTCTTACATATCAAGCAATAATCTAAGCGAAGAGATTATGGGATAAATTCAGCCTACGTAAAGTTTCTAAAAAAAATAACTTTACGTGCCAAAAAGGCATTTATCACAATCGTGGGAGAACATTTTATTTCAAACACAAATACGCCTACTAAATAATAGTTTGGGTTAATTAATTTCTAAGATATATGGTTCTGTGTAGATTTTCGCTAGTTTAAGTACAAGTTTTACCATAGACTAAAGTCATTAGCAGAACAACTGGAAAGTAGGATAAATCGAGATAGTTATTTCTTTCCAAACTAACAACTATGTGTTCTCTTGGGATCTAACCCGAGAATTCACAAGTTTCCAGGTGTTTGTTACCCCTCACTAAAATTGAAATTTAATAGTTCACATTTTTAGTTTATGATGTAGAGTGTTCATCCTATGTCATAGATGAGTGTATTTTCTACTACCAACCTTGTTAATCACACAGGTTACTTAGATATTTTAACTGTTAATAAAGTTTTATCCATTCAAAAGATAATTTGATTGTTTATCAAATAAACAAGTGAGAATACTTATTTTCGTATGACTGAACGATATGTTATCTTAGACAATAAATATACAATATTACAATGCGCTAATGTGAATCGATTCTATATGTCTATGGTTTTCAACCATGTCATCTTTAAAATATTTTTGTTTTCACTCGAATCTAACTTACATGAAAGCAAAGAATATGCAACACACACTTTTCATTCATTAAACAAGGATTTTCAATTATTTTCAGGATGCTTTTTGTCTGCTTTTATGTTTACTAAAGTAGAATTATTTATTGTGCAAGTTGTATAAACTTCTGTGCAGTATGTACATTTCTTCTAAGTGTCATTCTATGTTAGATACATCTGAATTTATTTTGTAAACTCGATAAATTTATTTTTTACACACATGGAATAGTTAGTGTTTAAATAAAATACTTAATTCGATATAACCGTAATTAATATAACGGATGAATAGAGATTATTGTGGTTTCAACGTTCAATTAGGAGTTACACTTTAGTTTTGAGAACTAGCTGATAGAATGAGGTCTATGTAAATGAAGTGAAAATTATACAAAAATTACAACTCAATAATTGAAATCAAAGTACTTTAATCACCATCTCATTTTTCCCTTTTTTTTAAAAACATTCGTACATTTACACTTATGAAGGTATTGACATTATAGTTTTCAGATGATTTTACTTGCCCAAATCTTGCTTTAAATGTTTTCATAGACATCATAAAAAGATGCTTCTTTCATTTACAAATACCTAATGAAGTAATCATTTTGAAACATCTTCATACGACTTACTAGGGGAATCTTATATTCAGTAAAATTTCAAGTTTATCTTGTTTGCCAAAACTTAAATAAAGTTGTTTCAATTTTAATTTCAGAAAAAATCCAAACAAAAGTAGAAAATGTATCGAAACAAAAAACTGCATTTAATAGTCATTCAGATAACCTGCTTGATGTTCAAAACAATCCTGAAGATCGTTCACGTTTACATGATTCATTAGAAAATTTATCGGAATCAATTAGATCACGTCAATTACCATTAAGACTAGCCCCATGTTTAAATAAAAAAAATCATTTTGATTATTTAGTTGCCGATACAAAATTGGATTCAACTTTATGCACCTCCAAATTATCACATATAGATGATAGTAGAATAAATAATCGTGATGCGTTACATAATGATCAAAAAATGAAAAGTTGTTGGGATCCATGGATGAAGACGAGTATAAGTCAGCGAATTAACTCAAGAGCTTATGAATGTTTAGACTCTGGACTTGAGGGTGTACAAGAAGAATTCGATAATGTGACTGACCAAGAAGAAGAAATTGACTACATAGATCATAATCAAAATAATAATGAAATAAGAAATCCCATAAATAAAAACATTCAATCAGAAACTGATTCTTTAAAGTCAAATAATACTGATCCAAATGACAGAAGACAAGAATCTGAATCATCATCTTCATCATTATCTTTCAAGAAATTACGTCCTAAATATTTATTTCACATTGGAAAGTCGAAACATAAAAATATTGAGTCTGTAAACGATCTCCAAAGTAAGTTTAAAAATTTTTTAAAATATTTTTGCTCCTGGTTCGTTGTGTTTGGTATTTTTCAGGATTGAAATCATATTCAATTCATAGTATTTCTTATCACGACTAAAACCCTATGAAAAGATCCACTTACAGATTCAAGTTTATCAATCTGATAACTAATAGAACTTATTCTAATTTATTGTGTAAATTCCAAATGTTATATGAGTTTTATTTTGATTTATGGCTTGGCAAATGTTTATCATTCATATTTACTGGTTGCTTGAACCTTACCATTGAAGTCTAGGACTGCTATTGATCAATCTCTTATTGACATATGTGCACCCTATGCAGATTGACTTGATATTGCAAGCATTTTAGGCAGAGATGGGTGGTAGCTAGCAGTGGAACTCAGGACGCTCGTTTCATCCAATTCGGGGATTAATGGCGATGTCAATGTAGTACACATAAGATGCACGTATGCCAAAAAATGTTTGGTCATTTGCTATCCTAAACATCAATTGAAAGATCCAAACGACGAATATATATATATATATATATATATATATATATATATAAACAAAAATCCATCTCATTCCGCGGGCCGGTGACTATGTGGACTACGTGACTAAGTGGGTGGCGTTTGAAGCGAACAGTGGTGGGTTGGAGTTTCGGAGTGGTCACCAACTCTAGGATGCAGGTAATTTCAGCTGACTAGGCCCAAATAGAACGAAACAGGCGTCCTGGATTCTACCGCTAACCATCATCCATATAGTTTTATCAAAAGGCCGGTACTAAAAATTCCTTATGGAAGAATTGTCAGGTGTTAAGACACTGTTATTTTTGAAACATTTTCTATCGTGTAAATAACGTGGAACAGTATAATTCTGGATGACTAATGTTAATACAAACACAAAAACCCTAACCCTCATAATTAGAAAAACTAGTATGCTCAGTCGACGACCCGGTGGCTCTGTATTTCGAAGTGATACGGTCGGCATTAAGTTTGATAATCTAACCTTAGTTTCATAGGTTCATGGATGAATTTCCAAACCTATATCTAACGGTAATGTTTTTTTAAAAGATGATAAAAACTATAAGCACCATACAAAATTCAAAAAAATTATGTTTAGAACATTAAACAATTAAAAGTAACCGTTTTCCGTCCACTTGTTTTTATTTTCTTTTAGTTGTTGGCACAACGAAACCGAAATCCGAAAAGGATTGCAATGAACAAGAATCTATGCCTCCACCACCTAGTACTACTGTCTTAAAATATTCCAAAAAACATAAAACTATTGCCACCCGTATTGTCAATTTTTTCTCAGCTCATTCTAAACATCGTAAAATGGACAGCAATCAGTCAATTAATGATTCCTCAATTCACTCATCTGATTCACCAAACAACATTAACCACCTAGATTACGATGATTCATCAGAATTAAGTTTAGGTCAACAATCATCCAGTGAAATTTCAACCAGTAAAAGAATCAATCAAAAAACACAAGCATGCGATCGTGGTATTCCAACCGACAAACTTGGTCCTCCTTGTAAAACTCGGAAATTAATATCTGTTGGCACTTCTACACACTGGACTGGTGAGTAAATCCATAATAAAAAGGCTAATAGTAATACCAATAATAATTGTATTTTTATAAATTTATGGTATCGTTTCCTTGCATCACGATTCTATGGCTTCGGATTTAATTTCAAAAGTGAGGGACTTATTTCCAATAAATGAAGTAGCTATCCAGTGGTTCCGGGTTCTTATAATTTCAAGATAAATGAAAACAGTTTTTGTAATAATAGTATGTGCATTAAGTTATCTTTACAAGAGGGCTAAAAATCCCCGTTCGTGCATACAACTTCGCCGATATTTTGTTGACTATATATTACACCCCTAAAAAGCTATAATTCTGTACCCATGAGTATTGAGCTTGCAGATAGATCCGCGAGGTTGGAATAATAAGTCGTAACTAATTTTGTTTGATCATATTGCATATACGGTAGTTGACTGCAACTGACCGCACATTTTTGCCATTCGATAGGAGATAAAAAATATTGACAATTTAATCCCATGGTCGAATGATAAGTGTTTACTACGATATCTGAAGTAGCTAATTTATATTCACGACTGCTTCGTGGTTGCGGACTATTAACATACTAGGACGAAACCTTGTTCAGCTTTGTAGTGATCAGAAAATTGTTGATTTGTTTAAAAAAACTGTACATTTTTTGTTAGATGAACTTGACAGTATCCTCCTCATACCTATTTCCAGCAACATGGAATTTCAACATGCAGTTCATTTAAATCACAATAATACAATGACAGTCAATATTTTAAAAAATGATTAGGATAAACAATATTTGTAGATTGTTTATGACTAATATGTCTTGATTTAAGATATCTTTCAACCCTGGTGGGAATATTGAAATCGTGAACCGATCAATGTTATACCGAATTTGGAAACCTGAAAAAACTGAACGGCATAGGGCTCTTCCAAGGCGCTTATCCACGATATCGCACTTGGAATTTGGACGCAGAACCTTCGGTCTCGCTAGAGCGCTTAACCTTCAGACCACTAAGCCGACATCCAACGGTGTTAATGTCCAACTTCAACCAATCCATGATATTGCGCTCAGTTGTCAGATGCTACATCAGTTATGATGATATAACTCAACAGTAAATAAATTTATCAGTTGTTCTCTAAAGTCAACGTGTAAAAGTCAACTAGTAATAAAAATAATTGCTTTTTGAACAAGGGGAGTACGTATTTTGTGAAACAAAGTGTCAACCTTTTGTAGTAATCTGTAAAGCGTTCAAGAAATTATGTAGACAATGATATTGTACAATGCACCACAAACTTTGCTTCTCCTAACTCATTCTTGTCGGTTTTCATATGTGTTTATGAGACTATTTGAATTCACTATCTGCAAATTATGGTACCTAAAATTACTTTGTCTGATAAAATCTAAATCACTGTATATAACAAGCTAACATGGGAAGGAGTCAAAACTCTTGGACCTTAACACTGTACTTTCAATATTTTACAAATAAACATCACAATATTAACAAATTTCAATCTCAAATACCCTTGTTGGTCACAAATATTTACAAATGAAAAGAAGAGTTTTCACTATAACAACCCCCTCCGAATGTATTTTGTCATTTGGTTTTTGTTCATCTGTTTGTGTCGATTTAAATATTGATCTAATTCAATAAGTATGAAAGGCAGTTTATCTATTGTTACATGACATTGTACCTTACATTTAAGAGTGGTGCTATTTAAATTTATCAGTCAATAAAATGTTTCATCTTCACAATAGTTATGAAAAAGGATTTACAATTATGCTCGCGCGCGAAGCTAGTAGGTCCTGTGTTCGAATCCCGCGGGGGGCGGGTTCGTGGATGCGCACTGCTGAGGAGCTCCACAATAGGACGAAACGGTCGTCCAGTGCTTCCGGGTTTTCCATGGTGGTTTAGCTTCAATTGGCTCAAGATTTCAACTTGTGAAATGTTTAATTCCAAACCTTGAATTACTGGGCATTAACTAATGTTATAATATTTAGATCGATCAAATTTGAATGCGCAATGAGAAGAGGTAGTTACTTTGAAAAATGTAATTTGTTTACATTATACATTACGAACAATGTGGTCCCATATATACTTGTCAAGGTATTTATAGGAACTAATGGATATCGATTAAATGTAGTTCAAATATATACATGAAGCTATACGTTTCTAGATAAAGAGAAAAATTAACATACTACAAGAAGAATAGGATGTCGTCACACCACTCTAGGTTGTAAAAATGTTTTAACGATTGTCAGAAAAAACTCAAGGTTACGGCAAATTATTTCTGTATATATAAGGAGGGTGTGAATTTGTGAATAGCAAAGGCGTCAAAAAGCTTAAGAATTCATCCTAAAAAAAACTTTACGCAACATTTTAAAGACGTTGTTGTTGTTTTCAACCCTATGGCTCATTTTGACTAGATGTTTTATTATCGATGAACATAGTTTTCTACTTCCTACTTTATCGCGGCATTTAATACCAAGTGATTCTGAAGCCATTTAATTGATCTTCAGTAATTTTTATAAATGCCTTCTCAAGTTTATTTATGATCAAATTCTTCGAAAAGCATAATGTAAATACACCATATTTTTCAAATTAACTGCCTCTTTTCACCGATCTAATAATATGTTGGACCAGATCAAAAATTGAGACGAAGTTGTAGTATGCTCATCAGTATAAATGACTCGACATTGAGTGCACAATGCTTGTCCGTTATATGGTTGAAAACAATCCCAAGGAAGCTCAGAGTCAAATAACCTATCTAGTGATATTAGCGACATTTTTATGTTTGAACGTGAATGTATATCAGCATCATTATATGTAGTAAGGTGCAGTGTGAGATAATTTGCTTACTGTTGGATTATCGTGTGTAAGTAAACACTTTACTTCACTAACTAAAAATATATAATTGTTTTCCAGATGTGAAGCAGTCTGATTTTAACTTGATTTGCGTGTTATCTAGTTAAACCCTTGTCTCCTTATTCACTTTCAAGTTTCCTCTTATTAAAATATTCACATATTTATTGTATAAAGGATTCAAGTAAACAGTGCTTGGACTTTCAGTACTTCCCTTAATTAATCTCCACCTCTATATCATCCTAAACGTGAATCAATACTTTTCTGTGTCATATAAAGTAACTTGTACCATTTAGCTAAAATGAATTCACCTTATTCTGGTATGACGATTGAATCCTTATTACTAGTCTTTGATTTTTCGATTCTCGCCTTTTCTCTCATGTTCAAGTGGCTGTGGAGACTAAGTCTGGATTATTAGAAGCGGTTGGGAAATCCGATTGAGGATTCAACTAGCAGACTTATGAGAAACACTATATTAAAAAAATCAAGAGCCTTTGAACAATTTTGAAATTAGGAAAATAACAAGCAGCTGTTTTGTTTGAGATTAGAACTCGTGTGATAATGGAATTTCCATCTGAAGTCAGTGTTGATGATGTCGTTCACAATAACGATGAAAACCCACGACCAAACCATCCAGCTCAGAGGAAAAGACTTCACCAAAAACTAGAACTCATCAACAATATGTCGTAACTGTTAAGTCAGTGTTTAAAACACGAAACTTTCTTAAGACTTTTTTTATGATGATGATACCCTAATTCAACTGTCATCTTTTATTTTAAAAATGATTTCTGATTTCACAATGTCTTGAAGAAACTTTCTCAGTTAAAATAATAGTTTATGTATACTGGTGATTGTTTTCTGAAACTATCAACAAATGTACAACTCAAGAAATCTTTTACCAAGTAACAATAATGATGAACATTTTTCAATTTCATTTCATTTTTTTTTTTTTAAATGGTTAGTTCTTTATGAAGCAAAAATCTAACAATCAGTGATTGATACTAACAAAATTGATTCATTAATTACTAAGGATTTTTGCATAAAATTCTTTTTGCTTGCCTAGATCAATTTTAATAAATATTTTCTGAAGAACATTTTAAATTACTCAGGCAGTTGAGAAAGTATTGCATAGATATATAAGGTTAGTCAGCACTTCCTGTAGAAAGATGGATGACATATGTTTGATGATTGGTAACTTGCCACATAATCTTCAAAATAGAATCTATTTCATTCCTTCCTACACAACTTTGATTGTAAATCAAAACATGATGAAACTGTAATTGTATTTGATAAACAAAACGAAACCAAAAAAAATTATGTAAATTATTCATTTATTTATTAGTTGAATTTTTTAACTACTTAAAGAAAGAACAATCATAACAAACAAATAAGGGTAGTTGTTAAATAATGAAATGCAATAAAATGCAACAGTACAATATAAAATGCAACCTAAATTGTTAAGCATATCTTTTTCTGTCTGATTTCTTTTAATATTGAATGCTTATAGGCTATTCGGACATGTTTGTACTACTATTATAGGTAGATTTTGCATTTTGATTTGAATATAATTGTGCTCTTTAAATAAACATATTAGACTATTAGTTTGTGTGTATGCGTATGTGAGTATTTATTGGCAGATATATACACACCATAAAGATAGATTTACACTATAAAACAGTAGATATGTGCATTGTGTACGAGCACACGTACATCCATCCATCTACCAACCAACACAAACTACCTGAAATAACTAAACACACACAAAGCACAAGTAGGTCATACTACTTTAACCGAATAAAAATAAATAAATAAATAAACGTCTGTAATATTTTCTTTTTTATCAGTATACATAACATTGTAGCCTATGATTTCAATTTGTGCCATGGATATTCAATACAACAACAGAGGGGAATAATAATAGTATCAAAATCATTTCATTATCAATGAAAAAAATGTCATAAACGAAAATTACTGTTACCTGTTTATCAATACAAAGAAGTTTATTTGATCATGGATTACAGTTTATTTGAAAAAGAGGTAAAATTAGGCAGCAATTTATATGCTTTTGTCTATTGATTTAAACCTAACTGGATTGGAAAACATATATGCATGCATACACATCTGTATATGTGTCAATGCATATGTATATACAGTACAAGTACACGT